ATAGTGGGAAAAATCAAATGAACCATGTGACAAGCAAATTTTAGTGTGACAAATTTGATTTTAAGTTGAATAAAAAATATTTATTAAGTTATTTCCTTTTTATTAATTCAAATAAAAAACAATAGAAAATTTTAAGCTAATATTAAATATTATTTATAATATTTGATATCAATATTGTTACTAATATTATACTAATACTAATATTATAATTTATTATTATTATGATACTAATATTATAAATTTTTATAAATATTATTTATTATTTATTAAATATTATTTATAATATTAATCTAAGGGTTTCAGAATATTAGAGACTGTTCCTCCTTTTATAAAATCAAAAATAAAAAACAAAAATAAAAACAAAAAGAAAAACAAACAAAAATAAAAAACAAAAAAATAAATAAAAAATGTTTTATATATTAATTTATATATTAATATATAACAAAATTTTTAAAGTTGATTACATCGAACTAGAAACCATGATTCTACTGGAAGTGTTTCTGAATAGTCGTGAATGATCCTTTTATTAAAAATACAAAAACAAAAAAGGAAAAAAAGAGAACAAAAAATATTATATATTAATTAATATTAAATCAAATTTTTTAAGTAGATTATAACGAAAAAAAATATATTACTAATAGGATATTTTTCAAGTAGTGCTAACTTACAACAACAACCGTGTTATTGATCGTTGAATGACATTACCTATAATTCTTTATCATAAGTTCCGAAATAAAGAGATACAATATAATATATATGATATATATATAATGTCACTTAAGAAAGAATAGTACTAAAAGTTTAACAATACAAAACTCAAAATAATTGATTCTAAATTCTGCAAACCGTGGCTTTCAAGCTTTTTCCAGGAGAACACCAAGTGCTTTGATTGTTATCGTTTAAGAAATCAAAAACAAATCTTTTATGTTCAGGCTAGCACTTGAGCACTTTTTCTCTCTATTAACTGGGATGTTTCTTAATAAACCCTCTCTACGCCTTGTCTGGTTTATTGTTTAACACTTCATCGGACTAAGCAATAACTGACCTCAGATCTGCTTACCTCCCCGAGGAGCCAGTAATCATTGTGAGATTCCATAGCGCGATGTTGGTAAGCCTGTCAGTATTCGTAAATAGTTTCATGCAATTTTGGGACGTTTGGTTAAAACACACTAAGTCATTGCTTCCAATTTGACAGGTTAAAATTTCTAAGCCAGGCGCTTATTGAAGCCCAACCAATTAATTATCCTACTTAAACGTATATAAAACAAAGTAACCATCAATAATAATGTATATAAACTTATGTTATTTGGTTACATTTTTTATTTAGTTTTTTTTTTTATACATTTATATTAAAATTAATATTATTAATGATATTATTTTGTTTAAATTTCACAAAAGAAAAACAAAAGTACTTACTACACTATTCCAGAAATATTTTCCTCTTCTTATATTCTTTTAAAGTATTTCCATCGAATTCAGTCTATGTTCCATTTAAATATTTCAACGACTACTATTGACATGGTTACCATAAACTCCACTTGCTCCAAGCAGTTATGCATTCCAACACGCACCAAATCCAAAAACTTTTCTAACACGCATTCATCCTTTGGTACAATTTGTTAGTTGCTTGCCTACAGACTTCATCCCCGGGGCGATATCCTTATACAAGGATTTGAATGGTATTAACTCATTTGTTAATTTCACGTTGTAGTTGAAATTCGCAGTGGACTTTGCATTTCGCAAAAGTTCTAGGAGAATTTCCTACTTGTTTTGTTGGCTCTGAAAGTATTCCAAGAAATACTTATTTGGTAGCCGAAATAACCACAAATTTGATAAGTTTTTTATCACGTAAAGTTTTGATAGATTTTATTTAGATAGTTGCTTACTTCGACATAATAAATAAATCACTGAATCAGAAATAGTTCCATTTACTTATTATGAAATTACAGTTGGGTAGAAATTCATTTGCAGTTAATTCCATCAAAGTTTTAATAGAATATGTTTAATAAAATAATTATTATAATAATTTATTCCATTTTCCGGTTCAAATTTATTTTATATTTAATTTAAATTTATTCCACTTAAATAACAATTTTGAACACTTGAAGTCCAAAACTTAAGCATGAACAATTAACCCAACACATTTTTCCAAAGACCATGATGATGAATATTTGGCGTTATCCGAAACAGATGTGTAGTCAACCCATTCTTTCACGTCATGGAAATTTTTTTTTTGGAGTCGAAAATTTTCAAACTGTTATTACTCCCATTATTACACCCGGTACTGATGCATAAGCAGTAGAAACATCTAGGAGGGTATTTCATGGAACATAAGGATTCAAGAATAGGAAAAATAGATTCTCTACTGTCTTTCATTAAAGAAATCGAACTTGGAGAAACACTCTTATCTGACTAAGGGGCACAATTAGCATTTTCATTACCTTATATTAGTAATCAAATTTTTGTCAACATATTTATTATGTAAGGTATCTGGAACAATTGGTCAGCTCTTAACCTTTTGTTGAACTTTGATTCCATATATTCTTTGCTTATGGCAAGGCATATACTATTCGGTTTATTTATACTATTTATCAATCTACATCATCGTGTTCCAGCCATGTAGTTGCAATATTATTAAACAGGG